TAGGACCCCCCCATGCAGACCCTCCTCCAAAGCTGTCTCATAATCCTGCATGACCCAACAAGCCAGTCCTAGTCTGTTGTAAGCTCTCTCCTTGTCCTTCCTCCCTAAATCCCTGGCTAGTGCCAACATCTCTGTGTAGTACTTGTGTGATTTCTGTGGTTCATGTAGCTGTTTCCTGTAAATGTCCATCTGTTCAGTCTTTTTTCCTGTCTCATATAGCGATGGTCATTGCTGATTGATAGTGAGATCTGGCCAGGTCCAGTTTACCCAGTGCCTTGTACATTGTAGGTATCTTGATGTGCTGATATCTGTGCAGTCTTGTCTTCAGTCTCTTGGCTCATCTTCAGGTTCTTTTGATGCCATTCCAAAGCTGCCTCATATTTAGTCATAATCCTGCATGCCCCTACAAGCCAGTCCCAGTCTGTTGTAAGCTTGTCTCTCCTTGTCCTTCTTCCCCAAGTCCCTGGGTAGTGCCAACATCTCTGTGTAGTACTTGTGTGATTCCTGTGGTTCATGTACTAGCTGTTTCCTGTGTAAATCACCCAGCTGCAAGTAAATGTCCATCTGTTGTTTTGTCTTCATGCACTACCAAAAATGCCAATCTTGTTTTTCTTCATAGAAGAAAAATTTTCTTCCGCTGAGAAAATTATTCTTCACCCAAGAAAAAAATCTTGTCCATGAGACAAGAATTTCAAACTGCATTTTAGCATATTTTTCTTGTAGTAAGATTTATTTTCTTATGTATATTGAAGTAAATACCCTTAGAATATGAATTATTCTTGCAGTAAGAATTTCTAAGTTTTCTAGAAAACCATTCTGTACACAAGAAAAGATTTCTTGAACTAAGATCGAACTCTTCTTGTAGCAAGAAAACCATTCTGTGCACAAGAAAAGATTTTTAGAACTAAGATCTAACTGTTCTTGTAGCAAGAAAACCATTCTCCCCTCAAGAAAAGATTTTTTTAACTAAGATCTAACTCTTCTTGTAGCATTAGAAAACCATTCTGTACACAAGAAAAGATTTCTTGAACTAAGATCTAACTCTTCTTGTAGCAAGAAAACCATTCTGCCCACAAGAAAAGGTTTCTTGAACTAAGAGCTAACTCTTCTTGTAGCAAGAAAACCATTCCGTACACAAGAAAAGATTTCTTGAAATAACACAGCGGTCTGTCACTACGGCATTCTTTCCCATTGCTGGGGGCGTTCGATAAAGTATCGGGTTACAAGACGCAATTTTGGGTTAACCATAAAACATTTGAAAATAAACTAGTATCGAAGGGAAAATTTCGTTGATAAAATTATCGTCTTTACATACATTCAATGGTGATTTTTTGCGCTAAATGGATGATTTTTTCGGATTTTGTTAAAAAAAGTCGATAATTTACTGAATTTCGGTGCGTCATATTTTATCACCGAGCAAACCTGGCTACACATGTGCATATTACGCAAGATGATTGATTTTTATATTTTTCGACGACTAGGAATAAGATGAAAAATCATGCTTTAGGGATTTTTTTAATTTCTGACTTTCAGTATAGTTTTGTCACCAAATGGGTGAAAAAATCGAATTTTTTTGCTTTTTTCGCACTCAATTACCCGTAATTCAAAATCGAGAGCATTTTTCAAAAATCCTTAAAGCCAAAGTAGGTGGCGCTTTTGTGGCGAGAATGCAATCCCAAATGTGGCTGAGCTTGTATCCCCTGAGCTGAGCTTGAGTCTGGATAAGAAAATCAACCCCAGTGATGAACCAGGACGAGGGGGGATACAAGCTCAGCCACGTTTGGGATTGCATTCTGATCTTGTAAGTTAGAATCTCCTCTAGAAATATTTCTTTACTGAAGAAAAATCAAGATTTAAAGCTGAAGCCTATTCTTGAAAAATTATCTCCTCTTAAGAAAAATGAGAAAATTGTTCTTGGTGCAAGAAAGTAGGTATAAAGAAAATTATTATTTTTTTCTTATTTTTTTTCTATTATTCTCCCCCAAAGAAAAATTTTCTTCCCATAAAAAACAAGAAAAACAAGAAAAAGCATTTTTGGTAGTGTGGCAACTGCCAAGACAAATTCATAAGTTTTCACATCTGCCCATTGACCTACCTGACTGTGCTAATGATGATGCTAGCTTTTTGTAAGCTACACAAATGTCAGTGAGTATCTCTTTCTAGCCTAATTTCATGGAAACTCAAAGCCATCACATGGTATCTAAAGGCCTCTTCTTGTTTACCTAACAATCCATATGTTCCACCAAGTCTGCTGTAGGCCTTGGCTTGTTTTGCGTCTTCTGACAGTTCCTGAGAACACTTTAGCATGTTCTGGTAATACTGCAGAGCTGACTGTAAGTCATGTAGTCTTGTCCTGTAGAGATCTCCTATCTGACAGTACAGGTCAAACTGTCGTAGCTTGTTTCTCTGTACTGCAGGTGTGTTTAGTTCAGCAAGGAGAAGATTCAAGTTGACTTGTGGATCTTCATCATCTGAAAAATAATTACACATGTATCTTTTTTACACAATTGCATTGAAATACCTGTGAATAGGCTGTGATTAGACTGACTGTGTGTGACAAAAGCCTCTAATGTTGGACAGTACAGATAGTAACAAAAAGAACTTATTAAATAAATTCTTGTCCAGAAAAACAGCAAGTTTAACATATATTTTTTTCCTCTGTATAGGGATCCTAGATTTTATTTCTACATTAATTTAAATTTGTAGTTCTAGAATTTTCCAGCTTTGACTGGTCCCTCTTGCAAGGTCTTAAAAATTTAATAAGTAGATTTTAAGCAATACAGAGATTTATATCGTACCCGGGCCGCGATAACGTTCGATAACGGGTTCCGGACCGGGCCGTACCTTAAAGTACAGCCCGGTCCGGAACCCGTTATCGAATGCTTCCATGGCTTCCATAAAACGATTCGAACGCGTTTCGCCCTAACCGCGTTTGCCCCTTTCGAAAGTTCGAATACAGAATCTGGACGTTGGAATTGATGTTGCATTTTAGGGTTCATTGGCACCAACTTTTGGCTCATCTTGCATTGAAAGGCGTGTTTTCTTGTGTGGGTATGACGTAAATAAAATACGCGAGTCGGATCGCCCTCCGGCCATCGGGTGATACGGAATACCCCATGTTGTATTCTATATTATATTGCTCTGTATGTCATTTTCCTTTATTGTTAATGATAATCAAAAATAAACAAAACATCTGTGAGATAAATCTTTATAATTCAATTACCTTGATTCTCTTGTTTTTAAAGGTAACAGAGTTTTACCTCTAATCTTGAAAGCAAATTTTGAAGATGTCCTGTCATCCTCAGACAAGATGCTCGCAGTGGCATATCCAGTATCAGCTGACTGACTGGTTCCTGTTGAGTGTGTAGTTCTTGTTGATAGGAGGCTTTCTGTTGAACCAATGCTTGCAGTAGACAACCTGCTTCCTGCTCTTAGTCTGAGTACGTCTTTAGGTCTAACGGAAGTGTGCAATGCCAGCTCAGATGTCACCAGGTCCTGTTTCACCTGCACATCTGTGGATCTATGCTGATCACCTATGACAGGTGATGCAGTGGCACCTGCATAAACATGAAGTACATGTACCTCTAGGAATCTTCACATGACATGGCATGAGAGAAAAGTAGTTTTTGTCAAATATCAGTAAGCTATATATCAGTTAACCACCTTCATTTTTTGTGCCATGGCAACTTGTCTTCTTCTCATTTAAGTAAACACATTGTCATGGAAAAAGTGATTGTTATATAGGATTGGCATGTTTGCTAAACTTTAAGAAAATTGTGTAAAAGCATAAATGGGGGTAACATAATGATGTGTAAAGATATTTATAGCAGTTTCTATTCTGATACTACATGTATATGTTTTGAATGTGTAATACCGTAGGTTTTTAGGTACAAGTCTATTTATTATATTTCACTCCATACCATAGGACAGGTATGGATGGAATATAATTATTGCTCTTCTCTTTTTTGCTGGTCGAGGTTGACATTCTTGCCGTTTGGCTGTTGAGATGATTAAGCATATAAAACAGTGGCATACATGTGGAACATTTTATGTGGTTTGGTAGGATATGGGACAGTGGTATGTGGGACAGTATGGTATGTGACAGTGGCATGTGGGACAGTAGGATATTGGATGGCATGTGGGTGTAGGATATGGGACATTTTTTTATATTTAGGACAGTAGGATACATGTATGTGACAGTGGCATGTGGGGCAGTAGGATATGGGACAGTGGGGGCATGTTTGGCAGTATAGGATATGGGACAGTGGCATGTACGTGGGTAGTAGGATATATGTATCTAATATAGTATATGGCAATCACTCGTGATCTTTATTTGCAATCGGATACAGATCATGTACAGATACATAGTCATGCACAAATACAGATTCATGTAACAGATATACAGATACAGACTTTCCGAGTAGTATGACCGTGTCAGTCCCTACACCTGAGTAAGGGTTACAGTTGACACGGTAGCCTTCGCGTGGATTTGTTTAAGGTGGATATAGTATATATAGCCGGTGTAACTACCATTCGGCGTAACACAACAGCTTATGTGGGACTGTCAGTAGGACGTGGGACAGTAGGATATAGGATAGTGGCATGTGGGACGGTAGGATATGGGACACTGGCATGTGGGATGGTGGCATGTGGGACAGTAGGATATGGGACAATGGCATGTGGGACATTAGGGTATGGGATGGTGGCATGCACGTGTGGGACAGTAGGATATGGGACAGTGGCATGTACAAATATAAGACAGTGCCAATGTGGGACAGTGAAATGGGGAACATTGGGATGTGGTACAGTTGAATGTGGGAGTAGCATGTACATGCATGTATATGTGAGGTAAATATTGTGTAGTGGCAAGTGGGAGTATCTAATTATGCATAGTATTACATGTACAATGTATACAAGAATAGGATATTGACAGTGGTGTATGCACAATCATGTATGTTACTCCTGACAGTACAACTGTCTTCTTGTTGATAACTGCCCATTTATAACGTACCTGCTACTGGCTTATCACCAGGTTTGGTCCCAAGATGATCCTTACTGTCCCCTGCCTGTGCAGTGGATGATATGTGCAGCTCCTGTTGTTTCCATGGACACCTTGTCAGGTTTGTGCCCTCCAGATGAAGCACATCCAGCACTCTGGAAGTGGTGTGGGTCCTTGGCTCATAGAGGGGGTACTCCTGGGGTAGTCTTGGGGTAGTCTTGCCTTAAACATCAAGCAGAGAGGATGATTTAGCAAATTTTTATTCACATTTTATTGAAATTATAATAGAGTAGTATAGACTAAGCATTAATGACATTTACAATTGTTATATTGCTTTTTATGTCATCATCATCAATTAGAAAGTCTATTAAGTCCTTATGAACATTGACTCTTCAGCTGCCAACATATTCTTTATAATATATAGTATGCAGTTCAAATTTGTCTCAAAATCTTTGGATTGTGTAAATGTATTTGATTTTATGCAAAAGAAAACAATAAGCCATCTGCATTGTGCAATGTATAGCTGTAAAAGTATAACAAAGCAATAAATCAATTAAATACCTGATATGAAAGAGCTAAGAAAATTTAATCTGAAGATACATAAATGTACCTTTAGCAGAAGATGTTGTTAGGATGTAGACCAGGGCCTTCTTGAAGTCCTCTATGTTGATGGTTGACTTCACAGAGATGCTCTCAGCATGGAGTTGCTGTAGAGTTTCCTCATTTACCAAACTACTGTGCAGCAGATTGTCCAGTTCTCCATTTCTGTACATGAACCAGAGGTCACCCAACCCAGACATGTCTGTACATAGTAGATAGAAGATCAAGCTGCCTTCCTTCAAAGAGGAAACTTTGATGCCTTTAAATTTCTCTAGTTCCTTAATGGCTTTTGTTACTGTCTTTAAATCTGTGATAGTTTTTATACTGGCCTTTATCTGTTTCAACAGACTATTAGTAAGTGTCTCATCTCCACTTTCTGTGACTGTAGAATCTATTACATTTAATGCAGATGCAAAATCCAGCATGTCCTCTGCGGTCTTCACACTTGGTTTCACTTGTGCAATGATGTCCACTACAACAGGAAGCAGGGGAGGCCCTTCTGGAAACAGAATAGGCATTTTACTAAGTAAACTTAGTTAACTGACGATATACAAATTTTACTTCATTTAACAAGAAAAGATGATGCAAATTACCATGAGTATTAGGTGCCATATATTGATAATTTGTGTATGATTGTGTACTTGTCTAAAACTTTGACAACAAATTTTCCCAATCTCACAATATGCATCAGATTTGCTTGAACTTGATAATGGCAATAGCATGATATTGCTCAGTGTATAGTTGCTGTGATGATATAATCTTTATTAAGTTACATGTATCACAACCTTTTAAACATACCAACAAGTTGAGGTGAAGCTTGATACAAAATTGTTGAAGCTCCTTGTGCAGGTGTTTCTGTTGACCCCATTTCTTCAGTCCCAGACTGGTCTGTCCTCTCAGTCACAGTGTCCTCATCTGCCTCTCTAGATGACCCACCTAGTTGAATATCAGATTTTGTTGTTAGTAAAGTTACATGTTCAATGACACTTAAAATTAAATCTTTTACCATCCATTAGGCCATGTTGATTTGATTATATGGATGACATCCGCGCGCGCATAAATTTTCGGCCGTTTCCAAAAAAAAAAGTTTTCACCCATACTGTAAATCGTGCAAAACAGTTGCTAAACGAGCAAAAATATACCACAAGTTGCAAGGAAAACATTTAGAAACGATACCAATGTCGTAGAATGCCAAAATCAAAGGAAACAAGTGCTTTTAAAAAAAGCTGACGGTTTTACTGCCGTTATTGAGGTAGAAGTTGTTGAAATGATATTACCCAAGTTGATGAAATTGGTACGAGACCACTTAAAGAAGAAAACAAATCTGATAAAAAAAGCAAAACAGCAGATGTTAAAAAGAAAATTTAAAATACTCATACGTCCGGACTTGAACAATTAGTTTTTGAGTGTTAAAAGCAAAACGGCGACTGTTAAAAAAAGCTCCTCTCCGGGCATCGAACTCGCTATGTGCAAACCCTGCCACGTGCGGGAAATTAAAAAAAAAGAAAATTTTAAAAAAGAAAAAAAAATTTTAAAAAAGAAAAAAAATTTTAAAAAAGAAAATTGAAAAAAAAAAGAAAATTAAAAAAAGAATAATGAATGAAAAAAAAGAAAATTAAAAAAAAAAGTTCCTCTACGGGGATCAAACTCTCTATGTCCAAACCCCGCCACATGCACCGCCACTAAGATAGCATCTCTACCCGTTGAGCTATTTTATTACGTCAATGTCTGACTGCCTAACCAACATACTATACATAGCGATCCGAGAAAATTGGGCAGGATCCCAGCAAGAATGAACGAATTATGATTGAAGCATGACAGCCCGACTTTAAAAAGAGTAAGTATCAAATGTATTGACATTCCTGAGTAAGAACAATGCAACGTGCAAACATAATAGAGAAACTTCGCCAGGACATGCAACAACGACATCTAGCAACAGGTGGCATTATTTTTGTCATTAACATATGCAATCATCTTTAGATTTGTAGTACGATCAATAAATTAGCGCCTAAAACTTATGTAACCATACTTCGATCAATGTTATGTCACTAGATGAGACTGTTACTACATAAAGTTTCTTTTTGTAAAGAACATGGATTAAAATGGCAGCAAGTCTATTGCATAAACCACAAACCGGAAAGAAGTAAACAGGTATTGCATGGCCTGCAGTATTACCAAACTACCAAAGAAAGAAAGAAACAAAGAAGGATAGATACCGTCTTACTACATTTCGGCGTGCATGCACCGAAATGTAAAAAGACAAAAATGTAAAGAAATGAATTCGAAGAGTAGATTATTCGCCATAACATATTCTGTGCCATTTGTTCAACCTTCATGCATGGCCACGTAGATTTCATAGTGAAAGCAACTTTTTTTTTTCAAACCTTTTTTTTTTATTCGCACGCGCGCATCAGTTTTGGGGTTCCCAGAGGATGTCATCCATATAATCAAATCAACATGGCCTTATTATTGTGTTAGACTGATTTAAATTACAAATGTATCAGTGTTCATGCATTGTCCACTTCAAAAGTGATCAACAGCAGATACAAGTACAACACATTTGCGGCCAGTACTTGCGGCCAGTTTTAAATATTTTACGTTCCAGAAAGAGTAGTGGCAATAGACTTTATAGCACGTTTATCTTGGGTTGCTCTGGGCAGCTTAATGTCCATACTGCACTGACCTAGCCTACAGTGACCCTCTTTCCAAGAGCACATTATTAGTACATACTTGCGGCCCACTAAACCACCATGAGGAATATATTGCTGACACTTCTTTTTACCTGATTGCAATGGTTTCTTCCTATCAATTGATTCTTCCATATTAGGAGGTGCACTTCCTGTCTGGACTTCAAATGGTTGTTGTACACTGTCACCTGATTGATAGAAATATTATATTGACTCAATTGAGTGAGCTTGACCAGTAAACATAATGTTTAAAAACTGTTATGTTGCTAAATATTGCTAAGAACCACAGAGAAGCACATGCCACAATTTGCCTTGTTAATGTGGGCAATTGTGATTTCGCAGGCTTGAAAATTCCAAGTCTACAAGCAGAGGTACATACCTCTGGACCCCGATAGATTGTGAGTGACTTTGGTGC